GGTCATGATCTCACGGTTCGTGGGTTCAAGCTCCACATCCTGCTCTGTGCAGACCACTTGGAGCCTGGAGCCTGCTTCGGATTCTGTGTCTCCCTCTCTGCCCCTCCCCTGCTCATGCTCTGTCTCTCTCTCTCTCAAAAATAAATAAACATTAAAAAAATAATAAATAAGCTTAAAAAACACTTTCAAAAAAATCTGTCTCACAGTTTAGCAGTAGAAAGAAAAACAAATATGAAGTGATAAGTATTTCAATAGATTGTATAAAAACTACATTGGCAGAGGTTAATAAAGGTTTCAGAGAGGAAGTATTATTTGATAGTAGGATAGGATTTCCGCTGGTGGGCACAAGGAAGCAGGGCTCTCCAATATTAGGAGCACAAAATATTATCAGCGGCAACTAGTTGTACATGACTGAGTTATTGGATGTGAAGTAAAAGAGAAGTAATAAGTACCATTAAGTGGGTTGGGACCAGACTGTGAAGTGTTTGGATGGTATTAAAACATTTGGACTTTATCCTGTAGGCAGTGGAGTAGACTCACCAAGGACTTTACCACAGAAGAGTGACGGATCTGGTTTGTATTCTAGAAAGATAATTCAGGTAGTTTTAAGATTAGATCAGATAAGAAAGAGATTGACATCTTGTGGATTTTGCTCTATTGTAGTACGTGTCACATTGTATTATCTTGCTGCATCTCTCTGCCTCCGGATGAGCTCGATGGTAGTACTTTGCTTCATTAATCTTTATATTCTTAGCTCCTTTTTACTGTTTATGGCATATAATGTGTACTTAAGAAATGTTTAATGGGTACTTAAGAAATGTTTGTTTGCCTTTAGAGTCTAAGTCAGAAATGGGTGGGACTGCCTTAGCTCTTAGCTCTGCAAATGACAGTGAGATTGAGAGGAAGAGATGAATGAGGGAAAAATTTCAGAAGTAGGCTGTAGGCCAGAATTGACCAACCAGTTATTTGAGGGGAAGGTTTCCAATACCGCTGAGTTTGCCAGCTTGGAGAGACCAAGTAAATGTGAAAGCTGTGATCTCACAAGCTGTGAGATCATGACCTGAACCAAAGTCGGACACTCAACCAACTGAGCCCCCAGGTGCCCCAAAAAAATTTTTTAAAGGAAAATTTTTAAAGAGAAAATAACATGTCTCTTGCCAAAGTTTTCTAATTTTTCTTGACACGTTTCTCAAAGATAACCACTAATTTCATTTAATTAATTTAATTTTTTAGAATTTAAAAATGTATATCAGGACATATTTTAGAAATGCAGTCAAGAGGTGCCTGGGGTGGCTCAGTCGTTGAAGCATCCGACTTCAGCTCAGGTCATGATCTCAGGGTTCGTGGGCTCAAGCCCCACGTCTGGCTCTTTGCTGATGGCTTGGAGCCTGGGACCTGCCTCCGATTCTGTGTCTTGCACTCTCTCTGCCCCTTCCCCGCTTGCACTCTGTCTCTAAAAAATAAACATTAAAAAAAATTTTTTTTTAAAAAGGAAATACAGTCAAACTGTACTATAAACCTGCTTTTATCACTTAATATAGCAGGAACTTCTAATTTAAAAAATAGATCATTTTTAATGTCTGTAGTTAATTCAGTAATTTATTTAGTCAATATATATATATGTATAAATTGTGTTTTTTCATATTATAAATAATACTATACTGAACATCCTTGTAGATGCTTGTAGTACATCCCATCTTCATAGTACAAACTTGGCTGATTATTTTCTTAGGATAAATCCTGGAAGTGTACACTCTGAGTCAAGGGATATACATACTTTCAATTTTATTACATATTATAAATTTGCCTCCTAGAAAGGTGGTTTCTCTTTACTTTCTGCCTCTCTGTGCATGTGTGTGCTTAAATGGTTCTTTCTCTACCCCTTCAAAAACCTTGAACTAAATTATTGAAAATATTTTCATCTATGGTAGTCTGATAAGGGAAAATGGTATCTTGTTAAATGTGTATAGGTTCATGGGTAAAATTAAATATCTTTTTTAAGTAAACTCCATCCCTAACATGGGACTCCAACTCACAACCCCAAGAT